GTATATAAATATGTGACTTTGCCAAAATGTGAATCTATCAACTTCAAGCAGTGCAACCGTGTGATGAGGCCTCTGGCCCTCGTTTTTATTGAGGAGAGTTGCTTAATGAGGCTAAACATGGTGGAGGTGTTGGACCATAATGGGGACGGATGCTGCTCTGTCTGGAAGAGGGGAGGCTGTTATTATAATTGATAGCCCTTGCCGTTCAGTCCCATTTCAAAGTTCATTAGTAGCGCTGCACTCCTCGCGTCAAGCTTTCGCAAGGTGCTTCATGGTTCTCTTCAATGCAAGAGAGATTTATGGACCCAAGATGGATCATCTGGGCTTTAAAAATACACTAGGAAATGAGATCATGGGCTCTAAATCCCTCAAGATCCACAGTTCCCTCTCAGTCCAACTTTCATTTTTGTCTTACTATCATTGCTTTCAAATGAAGCAAAGCTGTCATTTGCCCCAGAGAAATACAAAAATACTTCAAATGCATTAAATGGAGCAGAGAGATGATAAAAATGTAATTTAAAACAGTGACATTGTTTACAGTTTGTTTGTCAGATGTGGAGGCTTCAAGCAAATGATGGCGGGGATACACTTAACTCTTTTTATGTGTACATGCCATCTGAGTGTGCTGAGGTGTGAGGTATTATAGACAGCAGACAGCTAATTATGGCTCTGTCAGGGTGCTGGTGGGGAGGTCACAGGGCCAATTCTGATTGACAGTAGAAGAAGCTCATTGTGTCTGATATATAGACTATACATAGAGTCCCTGTTGTAGTTTCCTGGTCTCTATTTAAAGGAACAGTATGTATTACCTGTCATGCTGTTTCAAACCTGTATCACTCACTTTCATCAGCAGACCACAAAAACATAAATATATATTTTTTGTAGAATATTTCAATCATTTTTGTCCATCTCTGTTGTCCAAAAAAATGTTTATTGGTTAACGGTAAATTCCTTTATTATATAGAGTGAAAAACTGGACATTTCCTGCAATTTTACAGTAAAATACTGCTAAATGATTAGTTACTTACTTTAGAATATTTACATTATATCATTTATCGATATTTGCATAATATATACATCATATATCATCAGTTAATGATATATGATATTTTTTTTACTGTACATGTAGGTTAATTCTATAAAACCTATAATGTTATTACTATATTTTACGGTAAAGTTCTGGCAATCACAACTGGTGAGGAACAACATGAGGAACTATTGACAAAATGTCCTTTTTTGGGTGAATTATCCCTTTAACATTTGTAGCTACAGTTTAAGATTCAAAAATAAACTGTGTAATAAAGTGATATTAATGGCTTCAGCTGCTGTCTTATAATGTTTAAATACTGTTGAAAGCCGGTAGAGGGATTTGACAAGATCCCACAAAATACATAAAGCAATAACAAGCTGTAAAAGCAAGACCTGCTGTTGCACTTGTCATAACTATTCATTTAAAGCATCAGTGGTGAATGAAATTAGCTTTCAAACTTTGGTCTGGTAGGCAGACAGTATTCATTACCGTGATAGATAGTCCAAGCATCTCTCTTCCTCTTTTTCGCTTAGTTACATAAATTTCGACTCAGGGACTATTCGTATCGGGTTGATGCTTTCTCTGTTTGTTTTTACGATCAATAATCGAGCAGGATCATCAGTCTTACGTTACAGTACTACATGACTGGAAACAGGACAAAAGATCACTCAAATTTAACATGCACAAGCAACAATCGTTTATGATTCAGTATTGCAATTATAGACCATAATAAATCATGCCCTCCTTTTTAATGAGTACAGGACGTCTAAGAAATCCCTCCAGCGTACTGAGTTACAACACGACTGACAATTACTGCAGTCTCCTAATCAGTTTATCCATTTCCAGAGAGCTATTGTTTTAAAATGATCTTCAGTGACATATTGGTGACATTTACGAGAGATTTGGTGCATGGCTGAGAGGGGTTTTTGTTCCTGAAGCAACAGAATGCATTTTTGGGAAACATTTTTTATGAATAGTGTGTTTAATAGCTTTATATTACATCAATCTACATTATACTACTCAGATAAAGGGAGCAACTGTTCATCAAAATAATATTTTTCCTCACATCTATGACAAAAAGTCATGTTAGACAGCCAAAATACCTACCATGATTATTGCAGCAATAATTGTTAAAACAATTCTCCTTTGTATCCTTTTTGCAAAAATGGATGAAAAATGTGAGAAAAAAGATGAAAACAAAGTTCAAGTATTTGTCAGAAAACAAGAAGTGGGTTGAGAAGTGCCAGCTGAATTGAGCAAAAGTGCTTTCCTTAGATCACTGATTTTGAACAAAACTAACTTTTCATTTGTAATTTTCATCTTTCTATTTATGCTGTCAAAATAGAAATCTGAGAGCAGCATATTGTACTCAGATGCATGCAGATCTATTAAGTTGTTACCAAAGCATAAATTAAATAAGGTACTAATACATACCATTTATAAAGTGACGTGACATGTGGCCAAGTATGGTTACCCATACTAGAAATTAGTACTCTGCATTTATCCCATCCTAAGTGCACACACACAGCAGTGAACACACACCCGGAGCAGTGGGCAGCCATTTATGCTGTGGCGCCCGGGGAGCAGTTGGGGGTTCGATGCCTTGCTCAAGGGCACATCGGTCGTGGTATTGAAGGTGGAAGAGAGCGCTGTGCATTCACTCCCCCCACCTACAATTCCTGCCGGACCTGAGACTCGAACTCGCAACCTTTGGGTTATGAGTCCACGACTTCCCCTTTAGGGTAAATAAGGAACAAAAAACGTTTAGTTTTTGTACTCTAGGGTAGCCTACCACCCTAGTAATAGCTTTGTACCTTTTTTCCTGAGAGTGATCAAAAAAGATGTCACTTCTGTGTATTCTGTTTTTGTTTTTTTCCACAGCTCACCCAGACCTAGTGATGTCACTGGATACAGTCACTTTTTCCATTGGTCCTGGTCTGCTTGCAAGCCTGGAGTGTCATTGAGTGACATCAGTATTCCCGTCCAGGCCTGGGGACCCTTACTTGGAGCTAAACCCCTCTCAGCCATGCACCATAGATCTGTCACTGACATCACATGTCCTTATAACCAAGCAGCAGGCCACACAAACACAGACAGCAAACACAGGTAGGTCTCTGACTCTCATATGGGATAAATGATTATGCTGTTATGTTGACAGAAAACAATGAATACCTTTTAGACAGCTGTCAGACTCTATTTAAGGGCAGAATACTAACCCAACCCATGAAGCTTCCCTATATAGATTCAGTTACTTGTCAACAGTATAATATGACAGTGTATGTAAAGCTAATATCGTACATCAGATAGAATGGAATGGACAAAAATAGAGCTGAGTCTTACATTTTTTAAATAACGGTCATATTTATCATACTCTTGTATTGAGTATTGTAAAAATCTTACTGCAGACACATTATTTGAATAAATGAAGATATCTATTCTTGCCCTCTCTTATAAATATTTCATTAATCTAATCACCATTCTTTATGAACTGAATAGAGGGCGTATATTTTTCATTTAGTCTCTGATAATAAAATATTACATTTTAAGAACTGTTCCATTCTCTCGAAGAGATTCTCTTTTTTAACAGAATTGACTTCTGTTAATAGGATAAGAACCCTCCAAACCATGTAGTTCCTTTAATGCCAGTGTTTTTAGAAGTCAGGATGAATCTTTGTGTTAATATCTTTAGTTTGCTTACAACATAAATTTTTTTGTGTACATTTTAAATTACTAAAAAAAATTAAATTACTAAGAAACATCATTTTTTAAAATTAAAGTCAGCGTGGTGCCAGAGTTAGATTTGTTTTTTTTAACTGGTGAAGAAAATTGATTTGAAAAAGTAAAAATACATTATTGTGACAAATTAAATGATGGACACAGAAAAGTTGTATAACATGACATGTTTGAATATGGCCTTAATCAGTCATGATTTTCACGTTTAATTAAAATCAATTAAAATCTTTGGGGAAATACAACTACAAAGAAGATTAATATTCTATAATTATACAAGATTAATATGATATAAAATATAATGCCAGTGTTTTTAGAAGTCAGGATGAATCTTTGTGTTAATATCTTTAGTTTGCTTACAACATAAATTTTTTTGTGTACATTTTAAATTACTAAAAAAAATTAAATTACTAAGAAACATCATTTTTTAAAATTAAAGTCAGCGTGGTGCCAGAGTTAGATTTGGTTTTTTTAACTGGTGAAGAAAATTGATTTGAAAAAGTAAAAATACATTATTGTGACAAATTAAATGATGGACACAGAAAAGTTGTATAACATGACATGTTTGAATATGGCCTTAATCAGTCATGACTTTCACGTTTAATTAAAATCAATTAAAATCTTTGGGGAAATACAACTACAAAGAAGATTAATATTCTATAATTATACAAGATTAATATGATATAAAATACATTGAATTGATCAAAAATGACTGTAAAAAGACTTTTATACTCACAAAGAAATCTATTTATTTCAAAATAAATACTGGAAAAATACTAAAAAACACAACGGTGTATGTATATACACATTTTGAGTATGTTTAAATATTCAATTAATAAAAATGTATTTGATAATTAAAACATTTTAAATGATCAATCGTTCCATATTATGTGCATTTTATTATGTGCAATTTATTTTGTGATATCAATAATTTGATACAATTTCATAGCCTATAATTTACATGCTTTTTCCTTAGGGAAGTCAAAAATACCTCTTACCTTTAGAAAAAAAAAAGTTACAATATATTTTTATTTTGCATGTTGTTCATTCTGCTGCTATGTTCACACCTCTGGCAACTGAATACTGTATTATGTAACAAAACAAATTCAAGTGGCGCCTCCTTGCTCCGAAGCTAAGAAGAACAACAACACACGAAGAGGAGGACCGAGACATTATATTCACTTGATTTAGTAAGTTAGTTGCTAGCTGAACAACATTAAAACGATGAGAACACCTGGACTGAGCATCTGTGAATGACGGAACCGGCTCCGCCTAAATCCGTTGGGCTGGGAAGAGGAGGGGACGAACTGTCGACAAGGAGAGAGAGAGTGTGTGTCTGATAAAGGAGGGAGGAATTGCTGAAGAAACAGACCAACTACGATAAAACCCACAGAGCCACACCGGGGCTGAGCTTATGACGTAGGCACGATCCTCGAGCGTTCAGCGCATCTCTCGCGCTCCTCAGCAACTTAGTGAAGAGACTCGCCGGCGCGCGTGAAGCTCGCAAGCAGCTGCGCTCAAGCATCCTCGCCTTATTAAGTGCGTCTGTGAAGAAAGCCATCGCGTGCGCGTCAATTCAGCACTTGGTTCACGAGACAGCTCCGGTGTGTCGGCTTCCCTAACTGGACTCAATTTCAAGAGCAGTTCTTTCAGTACTTTTTAGAACACTCTCGCACGCATGAACATTAGAAGAGTCATCATATTTCTTGCGTTCATCTAACTGCAATCCATAGTCTGGGACCTTCTCCACTAAATATGTACCAGGGGCATTTGCAGGTAAGACTCTGCTCACATAAGACGTCCAATACTTTTCTTTACATTTATGATGGTTGTTAATTGAATTGTTTTAGTTGCACTGGAATCACTGGATTGCACTGGAAGCATGTTAGGTGAAATTCTTAAGTGATCAGTGCATATGCCAGAGCTTTGTGAGTTAAATTGGGATTAGATTATTGCTTGCTGTTGATGTTTGTTGTGTTCATTAATTTTATTCCATGATATAAGATATATAAATGAAAGATAGGCTCTGAAATGGTGAGATATGCTATATTTAAGAAAATTACAATTTATGCATGAGTCATTAAGCAAACCAAAGAAATGTTAAACCAGTGCTGTTCATCTAGTTTAAATGATGCAGATGCCAGTTGGACAAATTAAACGGTAAAAATAAGATAAAGAAAAGCAAGTTTCCAGTTGCAAAACACTGGGATGTAAACGTTGCTTGTCGTGCTGCAGACTTACTGCTAAAAAATCACTCAGTTGCGCACTTTGTTGTAGTATCACCAATAGTAATTTACCCAACATTTTTTTGTATCACCCATGGGGAATAAAAAACAGACCTACAGAGTTGAACTTGTAGAAGCAATCCATAAATCACGGTGTGTGCAAAATGAGACACACTGGGCTCTTTTGAACCTCTATTCTTACTACAGCAACAATAGGATTTGATTGTTACTATTTTATGAAGATCTCTTAATTACGTAACTGCTAAATTAAAGCAGGCAGCGCTTTGTTTACCAAGTCTTAAAACTTCCAAGTAATTTACCAGCTGAATATTTTATGACTTCTTTTGCAGCTTCTTAGGAAACCAGAGTAGCTTTTTAATACCCTTTGTCTACGACAGATGTGGCTTCAGTTACCTTCATATCACTTAGATAGTGATTGGCTTCACTATATTTGTTATATTTACCATCATTCTTTAGACTGACCACAGTTTCATACTTAGACACCTACTTCTCCTTGCACCTATCTGCATACACATCTATGTAAAATGATGTACCATATGCAACATTGTACGAGTATAATTGTTCCGTTGTGTTATTAATGTTCCAGGAGACAGAAAATGGATGTGTTTTCAGCACAAAGGTAATCGGACACTTGATAAGAGTCTCATATGGTCCTATTCATAACTGTTCTCATCATGTTAGAGGCTTTTATTTCAGGCTTTGGGGAGTTAGGGAGAGTAAGATATCACATTTTCTCTGTCAGGTAGGGAGGTAATTTAAGAGGAAATGTTCTGTCTGTGCAAAGCAGATGTTTTATCTGTCCTTCACTGGGCTCTTTGCTGCTCCTCCCCCCTAAACAGACACACTTATCTTGACAGTGACGGCTCATTCTCCCTTGAAGCCATCTCAGAGTATATGCTGTTTCGCTCCATCGTTGGTGAAAAAATTAGTATTGCTTTTCTGCACTAGTGCTGCAATTTATATTGCAGGCAAACAGTTCACATTTGCACATTATGTATAAATATACATAACTGCATTACATCGAAGAGTTCAAATCAAATTTCTAAGCAATAATACATTAATACTTAAGTATACAAGAAAGTCAGAGTTGTTCAAAATGATCACACCTCCATTAACAGATGAATATGCTTTGCTGGTTTTCGCTGTTAAAAAAGAAAACTTGGATTTCGAAGTTTGTATTAAACATCAGCGTCTTACCACACTAGGGGGCATTGGAAATCAATATTTCCCTCTGATCATTTTCATAGATCAAATTCCTTTTAAGGGTAGCGTGTAAGTTCTGTCGTTTCATCTTCAACAACACAATACGATTTGATAGTAATATATGTAAAAAACAATAAATTACGACTTAAAAAGGAGTCTAATACTCAGTACTCTTCCTTCACAAAAACACAGAGGGGTTGTTCTATCTTATATTTCATCTGTGACAATCTGTGCATTGATAGTACCTGCAGATAAGTATCAAAGTAGTTATTTTAAAGGTCATTTGACCCATTTAAAACAAATATATCAGCTCACATCTCAGATGTAACAACACGTGTTATAATTACTATAAATAACTCCAGTTGCTTGGGTGATTCCTGCCCTTTACAGCCATACGGCTGTTTGAGATTAATTTGCAACGCAGTGTGTTGTGTTCTCTATCAAACATGGGCATCACAAAGAGTCCAAGTGCAGCTATCTGCGTGTGTAATGTGTCTATCTCACTCCGGCTATCACTGAAATGCACCACGCTGTCTGGCCAAGACAAAGCACCTTATGGGACGCTGGCAAAAAACTCCCGTGCCTTTTTACTTTTATATTACTTTAATTAGCAGAAGCATCTTCTGCATATTCAGGATTTAATGGATTGTCTCTATACCTCTTTGCTCAGTTCAGGCTTTACTTGACATTTTTGATCCAAAACCTGACATGTCTTTTTTTAAATCTCATTTTCAGAAAAGCTTAGTTAGTGTCCGATTCCCTACAGGATGAAACCCCTGTTACAGAATCCAGTTAAGAATCATTCGTGTCACAGCTCAATATTCTATTAGCGTATCTCAGTTCTTATTTCTGTAAATCAATTTAATGCTTTCATAAATGGCAGTATACAACCATACAACCCTGAAATTAACCATAAATCAGTTTAATTATATGTATTATTAGTTATAGGAGGCACTGAGACACTTCAGTGTTTGTATTACTCTGCTTATCAGTGTTTGCAATGTTCCAGACTGTCAGTACACATCCTGCTTTGGCTTTATTTGTAAATATTTTGCTAGTGGAGCAAAATTAAACTATAATTGGCCAAACTGTGTGTAAAATGTAAGTTACTCATTCTTGGATTGTTTATAGAACTTTAAAAAATGAATGGATTGTATACTGTATACAAGCAATACCATACTTCCATTCATGGCTCAGTGCAAGGCTATTCTGGATTTCTGAAAAATAGGTGTTATGCTGTATTTAAAAATAAAAATTATATTTCCATTAATAACTATAAAAGAAAGGCATGGTGAGGTACAATACTTCACTTAAAGTAATTTGTACTGCTGGCTAACAGTTGGCCATTACCCTCAATAGAGCCTCTGTATAGCATTTACTGTGCTCTATCAGCCTTTTTTCAAATATAAAATTATATATAAATGCAACGTTATCCTCCCATTTTCTAAATTGCGTGCCTAATGGGTATCTCATAGAGCTGCTGTGTTGTGTATAATCCCTTGGTGTAGCTTAGCCTTGTGAATAGAGTCTCTCTGATTTCCCACAGGTGTGCAGATACAGTCCTGTCAGATGTTTTCCTACCATGTGGCTTTGATAGGCTGACAGGCATGTGGTCTGTTGGCTTTTTCATGTTGCATCCCTGGCTTTGACAGTGATAGTGCTTTTTTCAAGGAGGTGAACAGCAGTTCATCTCGGGCTCAGAAAAAGAGATTGAGACATGCTTGTGTGACACCTCTGCGAGTGTGAAATATGCAGGCCCAGACTGCAGCACGCTGAGGCGAGGGGGGCTCACAGAGACCCTACAATTGTGACAGCTATTGATTTATGTGAGAGGGTCTCAATATGACCTTTCAGGGCCTTTCCCAATAGAAACGCCTGAGAAAGAAAAAGACAGATAGATTTAGAGTCTCTATCCTGTGAATATTAATGTAATAAGCATAGATTAATCCTTCGTGGGCTAATGAAGGTTAGATAAATGGTGTTACAAGCAGTGCTGCTAAACACGTGATGAAATTACAAGCAAATTATAATAGCGCCCTGCTGGAAACAGCACATTTTAAAGAAATAGAACAGCTCTTAGTTAACTGTAAAAAAAAAAAATCAAGAGATTTTTTGTATATTGTACTCAAACATTTCTCTAAGGTTTAGGCTTTTACGAAATTAAAAGATGGCAGGTTTAATCGCTAATGGATCTTGAAAGTGTTTACTTTCGAAAGAGATGAAATTTCTGTCATCTTCAAAAATGAAAATTCTGTCATTTACTCACCCCCATGTCATTTCAATATTGTATGCATTTATCTCTTTTGTGGAGCGTAAACAAATATACTGTATTACGAAGAATGTTGGTAACCAAACAGTTGTGGTTCCTTTTAACTCGTTGCATGGACAAAAAATCCAATAGAAGTCAATGGGAACCAAACCTGTCTGTAATCATTTACTCACCCTGATGTCATTTCAAGCATCCTTTATCTCTGGAACAATCATGTTTGTTGTAACCATATTTAATTAAATTTGTATATGTGTGCTTTGATCAATGTTTTGGTTTGATTTTGAAATATCTCTGTTTATTATAAAAAAAAGACTGTGTGGCTTTAGAAGACTTGCAATATAGCAGTTGAGTTGTATGGAGTATTTTCACGCTCCCTTTTTGTCTACTGTGGAAGTCAGTGGGCTCCAAAATTCTGAATCTCCAAAAAGACAAACAGCTAAAACAGTTTTCAAAATATATCCTCTTGTATTGCACAGAAGAAATGAATGTAAATGAATTTGGAATGACATGAGGATGAGCAAATCTGCATGTTTGGGTAACCTGTTCCTTTAAAAGAAAGATTATGGCTGATCTGTTAGTATCAACTTTTGATTCATTTGCAATGAAAAACATCATTCATTCATTGCATTGTACACTGCATTTTACTAAAATAGAGTGTCAGGCAAGCTGGTGGGTACCTTTATTACACAAAGACTCAGGCATCAATGTTAAGCTCAGCTGGTTCAGCATGTTTCATACCATGCCAAGGTCATGGTTCAGTTCCCACTGAACATGCATACTGCTAAAAAATGTATAGCTTGAGTGCGGTGTAAGTCACTTTGGTTGTGACACCTTGTGTGTTATGACTACCATAACGCTTTAATGCAGTATTTTAGCTTACACAATCAGTTTGTCTAGCTGTTGAGAGTGCATATGTCTCTCAGTATCCGTCACAATAATACTAAAATCCTGTTGATAAAGTCCGGAAGAAGGACAGTGTAATAGAGAGGGACATGTGGCAGCCTTTCAAATAAAATCAATAGACCATCTGTCTCACTCAAGGTGTGCTTCTTGACAGGGGGTATTTTTACATCACCGATGAGGAGGATCTCGCTGTTGCCGTTTGATTCGATTTTTGCATCTCCGGCTCAACTCTTAAACCTAAATTCCTGAAGAAACAAGGACTATTTTGTCCTTTACCTGTTAGAGCTGATTAGGCTGAATGTGTCACGTCTCTCATGGACACTTACCTGAGAGGACAAAACTCAAGGCCGGCAGGGAAAACAATCAGCGGGAGATACTTAGAGGGAAAAGAGAGTCAGGAAAATCAGGCCGGAGCAGGCGGAATAAGTGATAGCATTCACTTTACCCCCGGAGAATATGTGAGCAGTTTTTGTCAAATCTTTATCTCATTATGGTGTGTGATGGTCTGTCTGACTCTGTCACTTTTGTAAAGGCAGTAAATAAATGATGAGGGTCTTACATGAGAGATGTTCGCGTAAGCTGTTACGTAATGCATAAATAGAGGGTAATTAATATATAATAAATTAGAAATGTTAAAATTTTATGGGTGTAGGGAAAGTTGCAAGGCCAGTGAAAGACTTTCATCATTAAGAAGCTGCTTCTGATGTACTCAGTGTGCAGCAAAAGCTTCGCAAATATTGGAAAAGCATGAACCCGGAGTGCAATGTTGTGTACATGTGTTTTTTTTTTTCTGAGGATTCAAAGATAGCATCAGATTACAGTGTTATTCTTTAATGATCATGAATTTAAATATGATGGTATGCAGTATGAACTGGAGCCAAACGAGGTCACCATTGAGGGAATAGGAAATTTGTGCATCCTATCCCATAATTCAAAAGAATCTCAGTAGAAGCTTGGGATGAGGAACTATAATGAAATGAGCAGGTCGGTTAGGAACAATTCTTTTGAGATTCAAATCCAAACTCATTGTGAGAAGTAGGGCAGTTACCACCGTCCCTGCGTGGCGCCTCATCCATCTCTAAGTGCAGCCTATAGATACAATCCTTCTGCCTTCATCAGGGTCCATGGTGGACTCATCAGCTATAGGTGTTATATGAGGCTAGTCATCAGGGAAGGCAGGATGTGCTTTGGCACTGGAAAATTTGGACAGACAAATATGGACCCACATCTAATCACTTTGAAGT